TGATTCAGCTTATTGACTGAGCTACTTCCTACTCCTACTTGCTAAATTGTCGTAAGCATATTTCTCCGCCTGTTAATTGATTTTGTCCTTTATAAAACTTTATGTATTTAAGTTTCTTAAAAAAAATCAAATAAATCTTTTATGCTAGTGATCTGCCATATTTTCAAGACACCTATCACTCTATCAGCTCAGCCTACCAGCTGAATCCAAATATGCTTAAATCCTTCTGCAAATAGAGGGGTGTATTCTGGTAAAAACACATTTGTGTTCGTTCGTCTTAACAACTTTTAATAGTTCAGATTCATAACTATAACTATAAATGCTTATATCTTATGACAGAGAGAGTGTATATTAGTATATCACTACTTGTTACAAATTATACATGCCATGTGTGTATTAGTCATATTATATTTTTCATAGTACTTCATTATTTGCATATCTGCACATGAAGTTGACTAAAACAAGACATGTTATATATTTATGGGTCCCTATATTTATTTATATATGTAAGATCCCTAGAAGTACTGTGTCGGCACAATGCTGATAACAAGAGACCATCCATGCAGCTTGAGCATGAACATGAGCAATTGACCCATACAGAAATTAGAAATAGAGAAAAGGAAGCGGCAATTATTTAGGAAAATAAAAGGGGAATAATTGAAGGTTTGGAAATTGTGATGCGGGCCTTTCTGGGACTGGCCCATCTCGTGGAGGGAGCTCTCCCTTACATTGTGCATTTGAGCCCAACTATTCTATTCCGGCCCAGAATATTTTCCCACCTCTAAAAAAACGATTTTGGACAAATTTTCTCCTCTAATTGCTAAATGTAAATAGATTATAATTGCATTATAACTTGTATGTAACTATAATATAATTTATGTGTAACTTTTACATAATTTTAAACCATTGGATTTATTTCAAGATTCGTGCAAGTTGGGAAGAAAAAAAATTATAGCGTACGTACAATTAAGGAGATTCGGTCTCACAACCTGCTTCGTGAAAATGGAGTGTTACAGTCGGATTTTTTTTCAAAGTTACATACAAATTTTTTTTCAAAGTTACATACAAATTATATTACCGTTACATGCAAGTTATAATATAATTATACTATATTTATAAGAAATTTTGTCTGTCAAATGTATATAGCTATAAAAAAGGGTGAATTGGATTTGTGTGATTGCAAATGTACATATTCAGATAAATGTCATTACAATTCGTCTATTCGTAGCTAAACCACTGAAATTTTACAAAATTGGGGATCGTGTCACTGCTGTCACATCATCCATCTCCTTCCTTTTTCGTCTTCTTCTTTATCTCTTCATCTTTTTCCTCCTTGTGGGAAAAATGGTGACGGAGCTCGCCATTGTCTGATAATCTCGCCACTGCCATCAGAAAAAACAGGAGGACAAATATGGCGATGGAGCACACCTCCGTCTCCTAGACAGGACGAGATTGTTGTCGCCAGAAAAATCACAAGGAGGAAAACAAATTGACGATGGAGCACTCCGCCGTCTGAGACCTCATCACCGCCACAACGAGCTTGCCATCATCGTCGCCACCTGGGGCCACGGAGGAGGTGGTACACTCTAGGGTGGTGCGGGCTTGCCGGGGGTAGATAGAGGAGGAAGAGGATGAGGACGAGCATCTCGCTGCACCAAGCAAAGAGGAGAGGTGAGGGAAGAAGACGAGAGAGAATGTAGAAAATGGAAAATAAAGGATATGGGTGGAAAATGTGGCGTCACTAGCACAGTTTTGATTTTATAAAATTTCAGTGGCACGACTACAAATATAAACGAATTATTATGACATCTATTTGAATAATCACATTTACAATGGGATCCAATTTACAATGGGGTAGATAGAAAAGGGAAAGTCACTGGCTCGATCTAGGCCGTCGGTTTTGATCGATCGGACGGTGAAGAACTGCGTCTCCTCCGACGCTTCACTCCTCTCCTCGCTTCGCCGGCGGCAGCTTCCCGTGCGCCGTGCCCGCCGGCGCCGCCAGCCACCCTCGCCTCGCCGACGGCGCGATGGGATGTTAGAGACCCACTCAACAATATAATTTCAGAAATAGCAGTGCCAAATCCAACACAGGGAACAACCAAGTCTGTTACAATAGTGGAGTGGTTTTGAGGTGGAAGATGGAAGGATACAAGGGCTAGAAGGTTCTAGTAGCTTCTAGACTAGTAGAGAAGAAGGGAGATAGAGGAGAGATCGACAAAGAGACCAGCCAGCCTCTAGGTCGCCGCCGCCGCTATTCGCCGCCTTGGTCAAATGAATCTGTTCGATCGATCTCCTGTAAGCTGCTGCTGCTCATATATTTTTCAGCTTGGGCTTGCTTGGGCTTCTTGGCAATGGGCTGACCAACCCGTGGTGTAGCCAGCGGCCCATGTGCAGCCCACCCGAGTCCCTGACAATCCCCTCTTCTTGAAATTTGGCTTGTCCCCAAGCCGATGAAGAAAACCTCCTGGATCCCATGGTACCTGTAGCTCTTGTATTTCCTTGGAATTGCTCACCTGTAGCTTGATAACTTGCTCTGTATTTGTCTGTCTTGTACTGAATGTCTCACATTGCAGCAATTGTTCTTTCTTGATATCACCTAGTAACAAGTGGCGTATTGGGCACCCCTCTTTTATGACCACCAATAATTTAACAGACCAATAATCCCTGTTTGCAATTGATGCATATATCATCTCTGAATCTGTCCCGATATCAATGGAAAACCTTGCTGCAGCACTACCATCACTAGGATTGTTCTCACAGAAATCAAAAATGGAATCATAACCACATGTCTTGACCTTCCTGTTCTGATTCTCAGCAGCACCTCTAGCAATAATCCCAGAAATCCTTCTGACCCCAAAATGTATCCCCGCTGGACAGTTAAACAACTGACCATTGTATAATATGTTTGTTGGGTTCTGTAGCCAGCTCTCAACATGATTAAGTGTCATGCGCATGGACTTACAAATTTTGTAAGTTCTTCCCTTAGCTATATCATTTAACCCTTCTTGAGCCTCCAACCAACAAGCTCCATATATATTTTGAGTAGAAGATGGAACTGACAGAAATGTTGTTGTCATTGTAGCAGCAGGAATGATCAAGTAGTTGCAGCTTATTGTACTTAGGCCATATAACATTCCCTCTGTAACTTTTTCCTCACCACCCACATAATGGAACTGTTCCAAGTTAAATATTGCCACCAATGTATCCTTATGAGCTCGATTAGATTTTTCATGATTTAAATCTCCTTTAGGTGCACAATATAGTGCAACAGAAGGTGTTTGGTCTCTTATGCAATTTGCACTGCAAAAATCATATCCCATCAAATGTGCAAAAACTGGTGCAGGCCATGGGACTTGCTCACCCCACATCACGCCTCCGTTATATTGACTTGGTTGTGGGTCAGGCCACGGTTTCAGCTCTACTTCCGTCAACCATGTGTTTACCAACAGCCAAAGTATTATGGTTCCAATTTGATTTGGTGGTGGCCATGGTGGCATGAAATAAAATATTATCCCCAAATAATTGCCCGCAGCCCAGGGCACATACCACTCCTTCCATCTTCTAACCACTCCACCTGAGCAAGGAGGTGGCCATGGGTTTCTCTTGGGATGACTCATCAACAGCTTCTTGTAGCCCTTGGAGCATTTGGTCGAACACCTGTTGAGCGCCACCCATTTTAGGCAGAAATTGGAGTTTAGCTTTTGTGCCATGACTAGTGTGGCCTTTCCCGAGGATGCTATTCCTTCTGGCGCGCCAAGCAATAGTGAGTACGCAACCCCAGCCTGGACAGTACCGGTGTTGACGTTGGGGCCCAACATCAAATGGCTTGGGTGCATCACCTTGGGAAGGTGAGTGGTGTCAGTGCAAGTTGCTTTCTCGTCAACCATCAACTCCATGGACTGACTTGATATCGGAACGACCTTGAACACACCCATCCTACTTTGGAACGCAATCACACCTCTATCAGTGACACCGTTGACATCGGGGCCGAACAACAAACACTTGGTGTGCGTCTCCTTGGAACAAACACGGGGGTCAATGATGGTGGTGCCGGTTGCGCCATCGGTGGCTACCAACTCTTTGGAGTCCACGGCAGTGTTGGAACATGTAACCACCGCAGCCACGGTGAAATCAGGCTCGACGTCGAGGCTTGAGCATTTTGTCAAACACATGATAGGCGTCAACTCGGGAAGGTCCTTGCTAATGATGAAGGGCATGCGATCCTTCCCCTCACCATCCCCAACCTCCAGGATGATCGTCGGAGTAGCCCCCTCGTCGTCGTAGATGGATCTCGCTATTGTGCTCGGGCTGCTGCCATTGGAGCACTCCATCGAACAGGTGGTGGGCGTCACCTTGGACTGCTCATCCTCAACAAAAAACTGAAGGTCTTCAGCTTTCTTCTATTCTTGGGGCATCCACGAGTCTATTGCTGCCTTGAGAGACAGGAAATCTGCTCTCCTTCTTTGGTCTGCCTCCTCCCGCCTTCGCTCGCACTCCTCGAGCATCCTCAAAAAGCATGTCAAACTTGTCCTCACTTCCCATGGCAGCTTGCTTGATGAGCTTCGTGGGGATTGGCTCTGATACCAAATTGTTAGAGACCCACTCAACAATATAATTTCAGAAATAGCAGTGCCAAATCCAACACAGGGAACAACCAAGTCTGTTACAATAGTGGAGTGGTTTTGAGGTGGAAGATGGAAGGATACAAGGGCTAGAAGGTTCTAGTAGCTTCTAGACTAGTAGAGAAGAAGGGAGATAGAGGAGAGATCGACAAAGAGGCCAGCCAGCCTCTAGGTCGCCGCCGCTGCTGTTCGCCGCCTTGGCCAAATGAATCTGTTCGATCGATCTCCTGTAAGCTGCTGCTGCTCATATATCTTTTAGCTTGGGCTTGCTTGGGCTTCTTGGCGATGGGCTGACCAACCCGTGGTGTAGCCAGCGGCCCATGTGCAGCCCACCCGAGTCCCTGACATGGGACAGCGGCCGTTATGTCTCCGCGGCTCACGCCGGACCTGCATGGGGTGGTCGACGGCGCTCGGTGGCGGCGCCGCGGCTCCGGCCCCCAAGGTGGTGGTGACGATGCTCTTTCTTTCTTCTTTCTTGGTTTCTTTGTCCCCGCGAGACCCCTCCATGGGTGTCCCTCGAGATGGTGATCTCATGGTTGTCTATGTGGAGCTTTACCTCTTTCTTCTTCTTCTTTTTTGTTTCCTGTTCGGGGATCGTGGAGCATCTACCTAATTGGCTAACCAGGCTATTAGCGTGTATAATGGGGTTGAGTTGATTCGTTGAATTGATTGCTCTTAGTGCGATTGTGCGAATTTGAAATGTAATATGACAGCTGAAACGAAAAGGAAGAATAGAATCGAGATTTTAGCAATGCTGATTAATTTCTTAGGCAGTGTGTGGTTACAACTTACAAGCAGTGCTGAATTTGCCGAGGTGTGGATTCTTACGAACGTTGGTGTTTGGCATTCTACACGATTAGATTGATGTATCAGTAATTTGGTTTTTACATGTTGCTATATTTTGATATAAACTTGGTTGAACTTGAAGAAGTTTGACTTAGTAATCTGCCACCACCACTGCATCTTGCATCTGGTTGGTCATAAAGAGTCATCCTTGTTCCAACTTATACGTGCCATTTCTTCATTACATATGTTTTAATTATAATCAAATGAGTTTTTTTTCCTGTCATTCTGTAGAAGGGAGTCTGTGGGCTTAATTTGAAGTCATGCAGTGGTTTCATGCTCAAAACGACTCCAAAGGTGATATGTTTTTCATCCCATTTTTCAAAATAATAAGTGTAGTGCCCTGAATACTAATACAAATGGTTCTGCAATGTAGGTCGGATGCCCTTCGCTCCGTGTGAGGGCATCTGTCTCTTCACCACAGAAACTATACTCTTCTAAGACAACACAAGTTAAATCAGGGGAGGAGGTGCAGATTGCGGTTCTAGGGGCCAGTGGTTATACTGGAGCTGAGGTAGTTCCATTTTATCGTGTTATTTCCAATTGCGTTTGTTGTTGTTATCTTATACAAGTGGGTTCCTTTCAACGAATGTACTTGTAATTCTGTTCTTATGTTTCTTCTATCCGGCTCCGCATTTATTTTCTATGACTATATCCTATATGGAGATCTTCGACTTCTTTTTTGTTTCTGTTTGTTAATTATTGAAGTACGCTTGCATTGACAGATTGTTCGGCTTCTGGCAAACCACCCTCAGTTTCATATCAAAGTGATGACCGCAGATAGAAAAGCTAGCGAACAGTTCGGATCTGTATTTCCTCATTTGATAACGCAGGTAAGATTTTTTCTTGATCCATGCTCCTTGGTACCCGAGATTGCCTACACTTGTTTCTTCAAAAAATTAAAAGGAAGAAATGACCTGAGTTTTTTTTATCCTTGGCACATCAAGAATCGGTTGAACCTTTTGGTAGTACATTTATTTTTATTAGAATTTCTGGGCCATATTGTAGTCATTTTGCTGATCAAAATTGTAAGACTCTGCTGGTTATCTTTTGATATGCAGGACCTCCCAAATTTAGTTGCAATAAAAGATGCAGATTTTTCAAATGTTGATGCGGTTTTTTGTTGCTTGCCACATGGAACAACCCAGGTTGTCTATTATTGCCATGCCCTTCTCTGAAATTCTTCCTACCAATTCCTGAATCATTTAGAGGTCACAATTACACTATTCTGCATATTGGAGGAATTTTTAAAGCGATACCTGCTTGCAATATTTTTATCAGGAAATTATTAAAGGTTTACCGAAGCAACTGAAGATTGTTGATCTTTCTGCGGTATGCTTCACAAGGCTAACAGTTTATTTGCATAGATATTGTCTTTCATGCTATCTAATATCCATTCTTACTACGTCTAATTGACCATCTTTACAGGATTTCCGTTTGCGTGATATCAATGAGTACGCTGAGTGGTATGGTCATGCACATAGGGCACCAGAACTTCAGGTTTTCCTGGCTACCTGTCCCTACATACTTGTTTAGTTATTGGTGTTGGTTATGCACTTCTACTATTTATAAGATCTTTAGTTCTCAGCGTTGTTTATGAGCATTTGCTTTTAGTAAGATCTTAAGTTATGTATCATTAAATTATGTTTGTTTATGAACTCATACTCTGTGGCTTGCTTCTCTGTTTATTCAGCAAGAGGCTGTGTATGGTTTAACTGAAGTTCTTCGAGATGAAATAAGAAATGCACGACTTGTTGCAAATCCAGGATGTTATCCCACATCTATTCAGCTTCCTCTTGTTCCTCTGATAAAGGTGATGAGGGAAGATTAACAGAAGTTATTAGTCATATATGGTTCTCTGATTTCTAATGAAACCAACAAAATATAATCACATTGAGTGTACAAAACTAACCAATTTTGGTAGCATATAAAGGATAGTTGCCATAGTGTAAAGTTTGTTGGCCATGCTCCTCTAAACCCTTAACTCTATGCAAAATTTTAAAATGTTATCAGTTGAATTTACATGGCATTGATGTATCTTTTACCATTTGTTTTTACCATGCAGGCAAAACTGATCAAGCTGAGCAACATTATCATTGATGCAAAATCTGGGGTTTGTGGAGCAGGCATGTAACTTGAGATACTGACGTACTGTACTACTATGGCTACAAATTTAGTGGTTGTATATCTGCCATGATTACTAGTCAATCTTTCTCTCTAATGCATGCATTTGTGTAGGACGTGGAGCGAAGGAGGCGAATCTTTACACTGAGATAGCTGAAGGCATCCATGCTTATGGAATAAAAGGCCACCGTCATGGTAACCCTTGTTTTGCCATTTTCCAAAAAGCTGGAATCAACATCAGTGTTGTAGTTACTGTGTTATAGCTCTTTAACGAAATTGTTTATTCTCCCTTGGACAAACAAATAGTCGATAAAGTGGTTACAGAATGTTTACTTATATCTGGCTATCTGCCCTCCAAGTGCTTTTAAACTGGCCCTACTGACACATTGCAATAAAACCGTGTTAGCTCCCGAGATTGAACAAGGACTTTCAGAGGCTGCTAAATCTAAAGTCACTATCAGTTTTACTCCAAATCTGATCTGTATGGTAAGCACTTACTTTCTCATTTTTGTTGACTTAATAACTCCAGGTTCTGCAGTTTTGTACTGTATTGAACGCACCTGGAGTGTGTGCATTAGTTAAATCAAATTCTTCATATTTACGTTGAACAGAAACGTGGAATGCAATCTACCATGTTTGTTGAAATGGCACCTGGAGTGACTGCCGGTGATTTGTACCAGCATCTCAAGTCTACTTATGAGGTTTGTTTGTCTGACCAGTGGCTAAATTATCTGTCTGACTATTTGAATACAGACGTTTTCTACTGAAATGAATTCATCAAAATGTTTTGAGATTATGTAATGTTGTGAGTGAGAGCATCTCCTCTTGTTAGCATCACAATTTTATCTACCTGTATCTTCCCCAGGGCGAAGAGTTTGTCAAGCTTTTACATGGCAGCACTGTTCCTCACACGCGCCATGTCGTGGGATCAAATTACTGCTTCATGAATGTCTTCGAGGACAGGATTCCTGGAAGGGCCATCATCATCTCTGTTGTATGCGTCTTCAACCATCTTTATGCCCATTGTCAAACTAGTTTCTTCAGACTTAAAGATGCGAAATTCTTATTTTCTTGTTCTTCAACTCCACAGATAGATAATCTTGTGAAGGGAGCGTCTGGTCAGGCTGTCCAGAACCTCAATCTGATGATGGGCCTGCCTGAGAACAGAGGGCTGCAATATCAGCCCCTATTTCCATGATCCTTTGCATCGGTACGTTTCCATTTCATATGAAATTCTGTCAAGATGGTGCTTCTGAGTTCATTGAGCCATGTTATCATCGGAGTGTGAAAAAACCAAGCTTGCTCAAATGCATTGCTCAGTTTGTGCTGTTGTTTTTGTAGAGATTAGCTACAGTTGGCAGTTCAGTAGTGAGAGCATTAGCTGAGTGGCTTTCTGCCATGGAAAATCCTAAGGCTATATACCATGTGCTCTCGTGTTGTCATCAGATCAAATAAAATTCAATAAAGCAAGGCCTTTGTTTGTCATTTTTACACCTCAACAAAACTTTCTTTTTTGAAAGTAACCTCAGCAAAATATGCATTTGTACACATAGCCCTTGCTTAATTGGCAAAGCAGAACAACTACATCAATCTCACTTGTACATGGCTCCTACCCAAATATGTCGGCCTGAGCATTTACTTATCAACCATAATCTGACTTAATTTCCTCAGTCTATAAATATATCTTTTTTTAACGAACCGGTACTTAGACCACACCAATTTCATTGAATAAAGTAGGAGAAAACTATAAAAAGGGAGTTTTACAAAGGAAAAGGAAAATTGAGGCAAAGTTTGTCTAAAAATATAAGAGATTTATATTCACACTCTCCAACCATCTCTTGTCTAATAAAGGGTATCATAGTCTTTACTTTTGATCCTTAATTTGTCAAAAAAAAACTATAACCTTTTATATTTGTGGATAGAGAGAGTATATCATACTTGAATCTAGCTTGGTTAATTAATCCAAAATTACATCGAAACATAACACTAACCCTTTTGTCCTAATTACTCCAACATCCAATCGATCTCTTCCTCTGATATGAGTGATATCATCTCATCTGATGTACTATCCGCCCAATGAAATGATCAACGTGTGATCAAGGAGGGAGAGGGACATATAAAAGGCATTACTACGTACCTAGATAGCGAGTGTGGCAGCACATCAAATGTACGGATGAGATCTGAGCCGTTCGATGATGAGAACGGACGGCCGGATGGCGCCTGTCCGCGGTCCACCCCCACACACGCCTCGCCTGCTGGCAGTTGGAGTGGCATCCTTGTGCCATTGCTGTGTTTTTGCATGCATGGTCCTCTGCTCCCTTCTAGGTTCTAGCTACTCAAATTTAATTTGTTTGGTCCCTGATGGTGTCTGTCCATTTTGTGCAACATTGACCATTACCATTTTCCTAGTTAACTATGTTTAGTGAAAAAAAATGTTTGAGAAAATAGTACAAGAGTTTTTTAGATGTTTTGTGATGGACACAATGGTATTCATCACAATTGTGTCCATCACAAAACATCTAAAAAACAATGGTATTATGTTGATGTGATGAGCTTAGTTTCTTTGTCATCATTAGTACCTAAAAGTTCTTCAAGTCCTTATGAGGAATCGATGTCGTAAATTCTAGGTATATACTCTACTCGCTAAAAAAACAGAGACCAACGATTAAATTGGTTATTTTTGCTAACTTTTTTTTTACTTTTTGAGGATAAACCTAAAGCCAAATTATACAATCAGGTTATGTTGGATACAATCCTCATCAAGAAAAAAAACCTAAGAAAAATTGGGAGGCACCGACAATAAGTCGTAACACATTTCTTGGAGCAACACTCCTTTGCTATATATGCCACCATATTCGCTGACCGACGAACGACCTCACTCTTGTGACCTGATTTTGCTAACTTTCTAGCAAGAACACTCACATATGTATAATCGTGATATCAGAATTTGAATCCTGCTAACTATGGCACCACATCAAAGTTTTTCTTTTTTCTTGAGAGAGAGGGCACATATCAAAGTTACTTTCCCTATACATGTGCTTCCCACATTAATTAATACCTTAAGACTAATGTTGACTACTAACAATAATCATCAACATTTCCCGCCATTTTTTCTCATCATCCCTCTCTGTAAAACAACAGTAATTAACTGAGCTCCACTTCTGTGTCCTGTGGTTTTGCAGTACTTGCAGTGTGGCAGCCATGGATACTACCCCTGCAGCATCACAACTACTACTACACCATTGCAGCTACCTGTCAGAACTCATGCATGTGAAATACCTTATGAGAGTTTACTATCTCATCTAGAAGGTTTTTTTTTACTTGTAAACATGCTTGCATTAAATTGGTTTTTTATGAAGAGCACTTAATTACATTAACTTCCAGAGTTAATTGGACACTAGCTACTGTGTAGATCAGAACACAGAAACTGCAGGGTACTTGATGTGCAAATATCTCACTCATACACAATGTAGTAGGGGCCAAAGTAAGGCCCTGTTTAGATGGGACTAAAACTTTTAAGTCCCTATCACATCGGATGTTTGAAAATTAATTATAAATATTAAACGTAGACTATTAATAAAACCCATCCATAATCTTGGACTAATTTGCGAGACGAATCTAATGAGCCTAATTAATCCATGATTAGCCTATGTGATGCTACAGTAAACATTCTCTAATTATAGATTAATTAGGCTTAAAAAATTTGTCTCGTGAATTAGCTTTTATTTATGTAATTAGTTTTGTAAGTAGTCTATATTTAATACTCTAAATTAGTGTCTAAAGACAGGGACTAAAGTTAAGTCCCTGGATGTAAACACCACCTAAGAGTATTACATGATCCAGGTGTAGGGGACACAGTATATATGTAGGCCAGTGCCACAGGGTGTATATATTTATTTACTCCATCTATCCCCAAATGCAAGCATTTCTAAAGTTTTGCACATATATTGAGAAAAATAGATGGCAATGATTGAGAGAAGATTGTAATTGGCCGAGAGGAAAAATATAATAAGAAGGTAAATGAAAAATAGTTATGATTGATTAAGATGTTAGGATAAGTGAAGAAATGGCTTCTTTTAAGATAAATCTTATGCAATAGAAATAGCTTTATCTTGGAACATCAGAATAGAGTGAATAGGTCATGCAGTAACAGTAAACAGTAGTACTTAGTTCAGAATTGCTGGTCACTATTTTGCTGTAATATATTGGCCATTGGGTAGATTTAATTCCCATGTCAGGATAGAGTTGGGTGGGTTTGTTATTACATTGTACTTTTTTGCCGGAATTGTTACAGTGTACTGCAAAAGTGCAAGCTCGAATTAATCTAAGGATCTGTTCAGCAGTCAACCAATCAAGGGAAAATCAATTAATTTACAATGCAATGCAAATGTTTATAGTTGGTTTGTCGTCAGATTTGCTTTGAGATTTGTGTGTATGGCACGGAGTTCAATAAAACATAATAAGAGTATGAGATTATGAGAAGTATAATTGGATCGCTGGTAATTAATCGACTACACTGAAAGAGAAAGTAGAAACAAACATGCTAGATGTTCCCTGGATCAATATCAAGTTAATTAAGAGAAACACTGTTCTGAATCTGGGATCCACACGGGACCTCGAACGCGTGCATATACTCCTTCACAACCACCAGCATTTCTTCCATTAAAGAGATGAAAAATATCTGAAAAAAAATAACATGGAATCCAAGTATATGCAACCTCACCAGCATAATGAAAGGATGGGCTATAAATTATACTGGCGACAATACTACCTGATCTGATACATTCCTCCTACAAACATGTCATTTTCCTAGAAATAATTAAACATATATAACTATCTATATTATATTTTAATTGCTAATTGAATAAATGAGAGTTCAGAAAACTATTATCTTGATGAGAATCCAGAAGACTGGCTAGGTTTCCTACATATATATCCATTAATCCATGCATATATACACATGCACAGTAAACAGCAGTCCCAGCTGCAGCTAGCAGCAGAACAGCACTAAAAAATGAGTAAATGCATGCTGCCTACCAACATCCACCTGCCACAGCTTCAATGCAGTTAAGTTTGAGTGATCAGGGCCCGGGCTTGGGCTGCACTGCATTTTTTTGCATGAGAGATTCATCCTGAATCTGCATGCATCTAGCTATTCCTACTTTCCTAGTGACTACCAATTGCCATGCTATAGCTGTTGCTTCTTCTTCCCAGTGGTAGTAAAGTACTATACCCCCTCCCAAAATATAAGAACGTTAAGATATTTTTGGAGGCTATATAGAAACGTTATACTAGGAAATGTTTTTATATTTTGGAGCGGAGAGAGTAGAAGATTAGATTATCACAAACTCTTGTTTCCTCCTTTGGTTCACACATTACCACAAGAGCACTCTACATGTAGGGTGTGTTTAGGCTGTGTTTAGATCCAAAGTTTGGATCCAAACTTCAGTCTTTTTCCATCACATCAACCTGTCATACACACACAACTTTTTAGTCACATCATCTCCAATTTCAACCAAAATCCAAACTTTGCGCTGAACTAAACACAGCCTTAGTTCACGCTAAAATTGGAAGTTTGGTTAAAATTAGAACGATGTGACGGGAAAATTGGAAGTTTGTGTATGTAGGAAAGTTTTGATGTGATGGAAAAATTGAAAGTTCGAATAAAAAGTTTGGAACTAAACTCGGCCGTTCATACACTCTTTACTTAACTAATTGAAATGTTTTTTTTGTCTTCTTGGATATACATCTTTCTAGTGATTATAAATCCTAAAAGTAAGGTCTAATCTTCAGTCGGTTTAATGCAAATACAATATGTGTTTTGCTTTATTGAATCATATATTTTTATAGAAGAGGAAAACAATATTGTTGAATTTTAATAAAAATCATCTACACGGGGACAATTTGAGACACGGTTTTTTAAGTACAGAAGCTAGGGCCCATATAATAAGAGAGCTTTAGCTACCAATTAATTGTTGGGAGTGCCATCTTGGTATAGAACTTACATGTTAGTACATTGTTAGCAACTGATGCATGCATTTCGTAATTGGAACCAATAATGAGATCAAGGAGTAACACTTTTGTGTGAGGCATGTTTGGCCTTAGCCCAACATGTCACATGTTTAATTAATTCCATGCTACTCTTAATTACTCCCTCTAGTTCTATATTAATTGACGTTTTGGACAAGATTGAGATTAAATTTTTATAACTTTGACCATCAATAACTTTAAAAATATTTAGTTTAAAGAAACTAGAAAAACATATATATATTTGTCTTTCAAAACACTATAATAAAAGTAAACATGCATTTATTTATTGTATATATTATAATAAAAAATAAGAACAAAGGTATATCTTGTAGAGCATGTCATTGTCCAAAACGTCAATTAAAATAAAACCGGAGGGAGTAGAGATTTGCGGGCTAAATTCAACGGATTTAACTTTTACTCCTAGAAGCCAGTTAATGATGTTTTGCATGTCACTTTTACCTTTGGACCAGAGATCATGCAAATTTGGTGCAAGACAAATATGAAATTTGATCATTGATGTGCCAACCAATTCCAATGTTGTGCCACACCAGTTTTCACGTGCGATGGTTAAATCGTTCAAGGAATCTTATAATCAAGGCAAAGTATTCAACTATTCATTATCCAAACAAGGACCCTCTTTGTCCAACAATTTTGGTAAAAGGGAATGTATCAATTAAATTTGTAACCGAACGTCTATGCTTTTGTGTTCTGGAAAGTTATTTTCCTCCCGAGATATCCAACATATCTAACCCAGCGTAGGTTACACACTAGGATTTTAGAGAACACAAGGACTTCACGAGGAAAAAAATTCCTATACTCCGAACACGATATACTCTATCCAGTTAAAAATATTTTATGATTAGAACAAAATTCAGTTAAAC